CTCATACATGCACACACAAATGTGTGTGGGTGCAACTGCCATCAGAGTCTAGAAGACAGTATCTGATCCCCTAGAGAGCAACTATAGGCTGTTGTGAACCACTTGGTGGGGTGCTGGTACTAGAACTGGGGTCCTCTTTAAGAGCAGCAAATGCTCTGAACCACTGAGCCTCCTCTCCAGCTCCCAGATCTATGCGTTTTGATGCCCAGCGGCACCTTTGCCTTTTGAGGGCTCTTAGATGATAACCTCTTTTGAGCATTTACTGAATTTCCATTGTGTGCCAGGATTCATGCTGGCACCAGAGCTGGCCACCAGAGGTGCAAAGCTCAAGCAAGAAAGGTGCTCTCTGCCTTCAGGGTATGCAGGCAGATAATAATATAGACTCAGGGTCGTGGTTGGTGTTATCTTTATTTGACTAATGATATGAAAAGCGTCTTCAGGGACTATAGACTTTAGGAAGTCATGAGGAACAAAAACAAAAAACAAAAAGGCTTCCAAAGAGACATTATAACTTCATTCTCCAACAGGGCCTGTCGTGTAGGAGGCACTCAGTGCATGCTTATTGCCAAATAAATAATCATATACAGATAAGGACACAAAATGCCATGAAATTTGGCTGTTAAAAGATGCCTTTATTTTCCTTCGTTTATTTGGTGTTTCTGTGGCTCAAACTCAGGGGTTTGTAGTAGGCAAATGCCAGATTTTAGGCTGGAGAGGTTTTATTAGAAGAGTATTTTTTATTTGTGTGTGTGTGTGTGTGTAAGATGTGTTGGTGCATATGCCATGACACATGTGGAGGTCAGAGGACAACTTTGTGTAGTCAGTTTTGTCCTTCCACATTTCCATGAGTTCCAGGGGTTAAACTCGGGTTTCCTATTAAATAAGGTCATATGACTCCTGTGGATAGAACTAGTAATTGAATTTGGGGTTGGGAGTAGGACAGAATTTCCAACAATTCCTGAAATATTTATTTCTGCCACTTTGTACCACATATTTATGTGAAGTGGCATTCTCAGCTTTGATAATTACAGAAACAAAATATCAGTCAACTCTAAAAAACACTGAAGCATTCCATCCTACAGTATCAGATATTCAGCCAAGATTGGGTGCTTTATATGAAAATAAATACACACATCCGTCTCTTGGGATGCAAACTTGCTCTCATCTTTAGTAAATGTTAAAAAAATATCTGTACACCAAAGATTTGTTTTAAAATGAATTTGTGATTTATTATCATTTGTTTGATTTTATATATATTATATGTTTTTATGTACTATATACCTAGACTTGCATAAAAATTCCTTGGATGAGAGACAGCAAGATGTCCCAGGAGACCAAGGCACTTGCAGCACAAGCCTGATAACCTAATTCCATGTAAAGGGAAAAGAGAACCGACTCCACTCAGTTTTCCTTTGATGTTCAGATACACTCTGTACATGGATACCCCACTACTAAATACACACATGTCATGGACACACATACAATAATAAATATTTAAGATAATATAAATGTGTAAGAAGCCTTGAACTAGCAGGACATGCAGTGAACACTTCCAGTCCCAGAACTCAGGCAGAGACAGGTGGATCTGTGAGTTTGAGGCCAGCTTGCATAAGCATCACTGGCTTCTGTTTTGGGAGTTTGAACACTACAGTTATGATGCTTCTCCATGTGTTTTCAACCTCAGCCCTCAAAGGGACATTACACATTCTCAGTGGTGACTGACTTCCTGCTGTAATGCTACTCAGATATAGAGTGGACATGAGGCTTGACAGAAGTAGTTCTGACCTTGTCACCAAACCCCAGGAGCCTACCATACTTTTTTACTGGCTCAGGACCTTGTATGTGGTAGATGCTTAAGAAGTATTTGCTAAAGGACTGATTTGAAAGTAAACTGAATCGTAATGACACAGTACGTTCCAAAGAACACAACAGAAACTTGGCTTTCTGTGGGTATCCAGTCCTTGTCCTTGAAGAAGTGCATTGGCGTCTTTACTGCTGGCCACTCTTTGCTGAGATACTCTGCAGCATGCTTTTCTTTGTTCAGTAAGTCTGGGTCCTCACTAACACAGTAACACTCATTGTCTTTTGGATGTAGGGAGTTACCTGTGTAGTGACGTGAGTGCATGGACTGTAAGTCCGAAGAGAGTGCTCAGAGAGCAGAGTCACTGGTGTTGCAGGGACAAGAAGGTATCCCGGGGGATGGAGGTGAAGATGGACTCTCTGAGATCTTCCAGCTTCTGCAGATGGATGTGGAATATGAGCACCAAGAGGACGGGGCCTGCCCTGCCAACAGTGCGACATGGTGCTCGGTGTGTGCTGTGAGCTCGCCGTGATAAGTGGCCCATCGGGAAATGAAAGGAGTAGAGAATTAATTTTGTGTGTTCTATGTTTTGAATTCATTCCTTGCTGGTTTGATTAAGGTTTCATTTGGTCTTAAGAATATAAATAAAAATTTAAAAGAAATTTTGATATGCATCTAAAAGGATCAGGAACTCTTAACTCTGTTCTTTACATTCTGTCCCAAATGAATTCTCTATAACCTGCAAAAGTCACTATTGTGAGGGTGGGGTGGAGGTGATGTTCTCTCTAATTATGACCTGGCTAGGGATATTATTCAGTTAGAACTGTTGCCTTGCAGACCCTGAGTCAGATACCAAGCAGTGCATACAATAGTAATAACTCAGCACTGTGTACAGTGAATATTCACCAATGAAAATAAAACAGCAAAGAAATCATAGGGATAAAGTTAAAAAATAAACACAAGCCAATAGGTTTGTTTTTAAGACAAAAATCCTTTTCCCCTCTGACTTTATATGTAAATGAAGGAAGGTGACTCTGATGTCCATTTTCCTTTCTGATTCTTATGGCCTTCTCAAACAATTTTGTTTTCTGGATAATGGAAGAAAAATGTGCAGAGAAAACAGAGACACTGGGAAAGGATAGTCTCCTCGAAGAAAAGCAAAAGGAAGCAGGAAAAAGAAAGAAGAAAAGCCAAGCATGCGGAATGCCCAGGTACTGATAACTGTGATTGCATAATTTATAATTTGTACCATAAATATTATATCATTATAAGATATAATAAGATAAAACAAAAACTATCACATTGGAGCTGGAGGAGACAAACAGAAGGAAAGGAGCCCAAGAGAAGGCACAGGAGTCAAAGATCCACTCAGGAATCCCAAAAAACACTAAACTGGAAGATGTGTATTCAGGAACTGGTACAGATCTGTTCAGGCCCTGTGCATGCTGCCTCAGTTTCTGTGGTTTCATAGGAGACATGATCATGCTGAGTTAGAGGACCTTGTTTTCTTAGTGTTCTCCATCCCCTCTGGCTCTTAGCTCTCCCTGCCTCCTCTTCCCAAGGGACCTCTGAGTCCTGAGGGGAGAGATTTGATAGAGATATCCCACTTAGGCTGAGTGTTCCGAGGTCTCTTATTCGGCATTATGTCTGGCTGTGGGTCTCTATTTGTTCCCATCTGCTGCGGGAAGAAGCTTCTCTGCTGATGGCTGAGCAAGTCATTGATCTATGAGTATAGCAGAATGTCATTAGGAGTTATTTTATTGCTACGAATTCAGGATTTAGGGGAGCATTGTTGTTGTTGTGCTTTTTTGTTTGTTTTAGACCAGTAGTACTTGGTTTTACCCTAGGTCCCTGGGATATCTAGTCTCTGGTTCTTGACCATGCAAACAGTGTTAGTATGGGTTCCATCTCAAGGAATGGGCCTTAAGTCAGATATTCGTTAGTTACTCCCACAAGCTTTGTGCAACCATTGCCCTAGCATGGTGCAGTCAGGACACCATTGTACATCAAAGGGTTTGTAGCTGTCTTGGGATTTACATTTCTCTTTTGGTAACATGCAGAGTACCTTCCTGCACCAAAGACCCCGGAATGTAGGGGTGAAGACTCTATTTAGGCACCAGCTCAACTTCTCCATGTTCAATGAGTTGTATATGTATTGTCTTCAGCAATGGACCTTGCTGTCAGTTTTATGGAGAGCAACTTACAGTCTTGGCAATAGCCTGGTGTAGCAAGCTTTCCTGTAGGACTATCTTTGAACCGACAGCCCACAAATAACAAACCAGAGACTCATTATTAATTATGAAAGGTTGGCTGTTAGCTTAAGGCTTGTCTCAACTAGCTCTTATAACTTAAATTAACCCATTTATATTTGCATTCTGTCATGTGGTATTACCTCTCTTCCATTTTGCACCTCCTATTTTCTTTCCATCTTGCTGATGACTCTGCCTTTCTTCTTCCCAGAGTCCTGTCTCTACCCAGAAGTCCTGCCTATACCTCCTGCCTAACTATTAGCCATTCAGCTTTTTATTATACCAATCACAACACAACTTCACACAGTGTACAAATATTCCACAACAGCCTAGGTTGTTTGGGGATTCCTATGGGCCCCCTTTGGCCAACAACTCAATTAGATGTAACCTAATCCCAGTACTGGAAGATTCATTTGGAGTTGGGACTCTATGTATATATTTTAGGAAACTTCTGCTATATTAGGTTTCTATACTACCCCTCAAATGGCCCTTAATTTTAGCTATATCTCCCTGTATTCCTTCTTTCATACCCCATTCCTTCCCCTCCCCACTTGATCCTCCTGTAACAGCTGTAGGGAGACACCCTAGCCCCGCCCAATAGTCCTGGGACAGGACAGTCACCAGGTAGACGCAGGACTCGCCCATAAGGGCGTGGTGAAGGAAAGCCAGGGTGATGTAAGGGAAGCTTCTTAAAGGCTGCACGTGGAGACCCTAGCCCCTTCTTTCTGGCCGCGATAGCTGGGTTTCTGTGACCTCGCTCTGGCCTGCGTTTTGCCCTGGTGCTTTCTTGAATAAAGAAATTTTACCATCATGGATTAATTCATTCTTGAGCACACGCTGCAACCAATAATCTTCAAACAGCCCCTCCACCCATCCATTCATCCATAGCTATCTATTCTATTTCCCTTTCCTAGGGAGATCTGTCTCCCTCTAGTCCCTTACTCTATACTCAATCTCTGTGGTTCTATGGATTGTAGCTTGGTTATCACTGATTTAACAGCTGATACCCACGTATAAGTAAATACGTAGCATATTTGTCTTCCTGGGTCTAGGATACTTCACCCAAGATGACTTTTTCTAGTTCCATCCATTTACCTGCACATTTCATGACGCCATTTTTTTTAACTGCTGAGTAGTACTCCATTGTGTAAATGTGCCACATTTTCTTTATTCATTCTTCTTTTGAAGGGCATCTAGTTTGTTTCCAATTTCTAGCTATTATGAATAAAGCATCAGTGAGCATGGTTGAGCAAGTGTCTCTGTGGATGAAAGCATTCTTTGGGTATATGCTCGAGTGGTATAGCTAGATCTTGGGATAGATCAATTTTCATATTCCTGAGGAACCACCACACTGATTTCCATAGCAGCAGTGAGAGTTTGTACTCCCACCAGCAATGGGTGAGTGTTCCTTTTACTCTCCAACTTATTTTATTCATGTTAGCCATTCTGATGGTGTAAGGTGAAATATCCAAGTAGTTTTGATTTCCATTCCCCTGATGGCTAAGGATGTTGAACATTTCTTTGTTTCTCAGCCATTTGAGTTTCCTCTTTTGAGAATTCTCTGTTTAGACCTGTTTGTTTGTTTGGTTGGTTTGGTTTGGTTTTTTGAGACAGGGTTTCTCTGTGGCTTTGGAGATTGTCCTGAAACTCACTCTGTAGACCAGGCTGGCCTCGAACTCATAGAGGTCCGCCTGCCTCTGCTTCCTGAGTGCTGGGATTAAAGGCATGCACCACCAGCGCCCGTCTCTGTTTAGATCTGTATGCCATTTTTTAATTGGGTTATTTGGTTTCTTGATACCTAGTTTTTTTTTTAATTCTTTATATATTTTGAATATTAGCTCTCTATCAGATGTGTAGTTTATGATAATCTTTTCCCATTCTGTAGCTGCTGCTTTGTCCAGACAATGGTGTCCTTTCCCGTGCAGAAGCTTCTCAGTTTCATGAGGTCCCATTTATTAATTGTTGATCATAGTGCCCATGCTATCCCATTTTTAATCCTCTCTGGTATTTCTGTCGCAGGCACCTGCCCCCAGCACAGCAAACGTTTTTTGAAAGCCTTAACCAAAGAGAAGCTTTTGGAAGCCAAACACTCAGGACCAAGACTATGTGTTGACTTAAGCATGACCCACCAAATGTCAAAGAAGGTAGAATACTCAGATCCTAAGGGAGGCATGGAAGAGAGTGGCCTTTGTGAAGTGGGTGACCATCGCCAGCTGCTATGGCATTCTAGTGATCTAGAAGTGTCCGGTTTTCTATTCGAGGCTACCAAGTTCCACAGTGACTGTTGGAAAGGAGCGTGTTCTTTGTCTTCTCTTTTGAGGCTATCACTGTGGCCTTGATGTTTTCCATCTGGGTGGACCCTTGCTGGTTCAGCTCTCCAGACACTAACTCTTTGTCCTTCTACTTTGAAGAGAAGTACTAGCTTGGCAGCATCCTGTGGGAAGGGTTCCTGGTGGGAGGTCTCCTTGCAGTGTTTACAATTTAGTTATTTCCTAATATTTGCTTTAGTGATTGAGGGATTTGCCCTGTAGGGTTCTGCAGATGGCTGAACATGTGCCACATGATCCTGGACAGATGAGATTGACAGCAGTCTATTAGTCTTATGACTCACAGCCTAGGGAGGAGGCTATGACATGCTACTCAAAGCCACATGGGCTTATACTTTAGAAAGCAATGGGTTGACTTTGTAGTATCAAGGATGAGATGTCTCCTGGGTCCCACAGGATGATATGGTTGGCTTGTTTGGATGACTTTATGGGCTGCTGGAGTCAAATAGGAATAAGCAGGAACTATGCCTCATTCACTTGATTAAAAAAAAAAAAAGACTTTTTAGCTAAAGGTACTTGTTTCATCTAGAAAGGCAGAGCTGCAGGGGGAGCTTGAATTTGGCTTTTGAGGTCATCTTAGTTGTGCTAGAAGTCAGACCAGCGCATAATACTGGGCCTGAATTTGAGGCCTTACACCATGGTGAATCTTATTTCAGACATCTCTGTGATGTGTGCTAATGTTACATGTTTCTTAGAGAAACTAGGAACACTACATCTCTAAGGTTCTCAAAAGACTCTAAGTGTAGCCTTCTAAAAAAGTGAACAAGGAGGCAGGATGTGGTGGTGCACTCCTTTAATCCCAGCACTGAGGAGGCAGAGGCAGCAACCATACACAAGCATACAAAAAGTGAGCAAGGTAGTCTTCCTTTATATTAACTGGGAAAGCAGATTAAATCACATCAGAAGCCTGGTATGCCTTTTATTCAGTATAGCACAAATCAAGCTAAGTTATGAAACAGTTTTCCAGAATTAGGGAAGAAAGTTAAAACTTCTAACACTGTGGTATCTATTAAAGTTAGGATGATGGTGCCAAATGTACCAAATGGAGCAGAAAGTGTTGCTACTCTAACCTTTTTTAATAATTTAAATGTTGAACATCACATAACACAAAGCTTTAGATAAAAGCAGAAGTAATCTTTCCAAATATAGTTAAATACACAGCGGCAGAGACAGCAGGAGGAGAAACCTGTTTTTGCATCATGAGTATTTCCAGAATAACATCGTTGTCCTAGCCTTGGTTTGTATGTGTGATGCCTTAGAGTGTAGCACTTCTCTGTGTGCTGTCTGTTTCCTGCAGTAAAGGGGGCCAGGCTAGTTCATGAGAGTCTTGTGCAGCAGTATTCAGTGAGTGAGTGCTGTGTGACTAGAGCTGATAAGGATGGCAGGAGTTGTCCTTATGGTTGTTCTGCTGAGTTGTCCTCATTGCTTTACAGGAATTGAGTAGGTTGGCGGGACAGATCCGAAGGTTGTATGGTTCAAACAAAAAAGCCAGCAGGCCCTTTTGGATCTGCCTCACAGGATTCCCAACTGACAGTCCTCTCTATGAAGAGTGTTTGCGGATGAATGATGGATTTTCTGCATACTTGGTAAGAATCCTCTGACACATTACCTTAATTATCTAAAAGTGCTTGTGTCCTAATGGAGAGGCTTTACTCTTTCATTCTTTGATTTAGAGCTTGCCCTTTGCCTATGGTTTCTACATCCACACATTTAACTGTATCTGTATTGCATTTATTTATTATTTTATTTAGTGTGTTTATGTGTATATACGATGGCATGAATACAGAGGTCAGAGGACAGTGAGAGTTAGTTCTCTCTTTCCACCATATGGGTCCTGGAATAAGACTCAAGTCAGGCTTGGTGGCTCGTGTCTTTTTACCCACTGAGGTGTCTCACCCCTGGCTTAACCATAGTTTTAAAAAAATATTTGGAAAAAATTGAATCAGTAGTAAACACATAGATACTTTTTTTTTTCTTGTCATTTATTCCCTCTGCAGTACAATATAGCTGGGTGTGGTGGCTCATGCCTGTAATTCCAGCACTTCAGAGGCCGAGGCAGAAGGAGTATCAAATTTGAGGTTGGCATGAACTGCATAGTGAGTCCTAGGCCGTTGTGAAACCCTGTCTCCCAAAACAAGAGGAAACTAAAACTCTAGCATAAGAACTATCTATGTGTACTGGACATTAAAATAGTCTAGAGAGGATTTAAAGTCTTCAGGAGCATGTAACTTAAATGTAAACAGTGACATTTTATGTAAGAGACTTAATCATGCTTAGTTTTGGTGTCTGTGGGTCCATCTTGGAACCAATCCCTATAGGTGCTGAGGACAAGTGTAGTGTCTGAATACAAATGGTATTTTTCACTATTGCACTCTAAGAAATCTCAGAATCTTGCATTAATGTTCTTGTATTACATTTTTTCTTGTTCTTACCCTGCAATGGCAAACTGATACTCCTAGTGTCTAGGAATATGCTATATAACCTGTCTAGCTCATGTTAACCCATATCCTCCTGTAATGTTTTTTTGGTAAACAGTTATGGAGAGCTGGAAATGTGATTATTAGAAGAGATATGTCATTTTTAGAAGCAGCGTGGCTTTACAGTGTCTTTTTAGGAAGAAGTACAGAACTTTCCAGCTCTTTGCTGAGGGTCTCATAAAGATAGCAGCAGATATGCAAGTGAGAATCCAGATCTGTCTCAAGGAATGGCACTAAAAATGCCCCTCCGTGCTGCTGGGTAGCTGCAATAAGTTGTTGCAGCCTTCCCTGGGAAAGCCATGGGGGCCATAGGTGTGAGAGGTGTGCTGTGTGGCACTGTGCCTCCTGTTACTGCTTCACCAGTCTCTCCTGTGTCCTGTGCCCCTGCCTGTCTGAAGTGGTTTCCTTTGCTGTGACTCTCTCATGTGTCCATCTCACTTCCTTCCAGAAACCTGGCTCTCGTGTTCCTTTCACCAGAAAGCCATCCCTAGTGTAGGGCTCCCTCACCTGTGGTACTGGTGTATGCTCCCTGTCCCTCTGGGAGTCCCTGGTCACTTTCTGTCTCCTTTCTGTGGTTTAAACATCTGTGCTTTTATCTGTTTTTTTCAACTAAGCACTTTGCAAGAAGCCCTCAGACCTACATCTCCTCAGGACAGCAGACCTGTGCCTGACAGACTCTAGATGCCCAGGAACTGGTGTGAGTTGTGCATTATGCTGTTTTAAACCCATTTACCTGTGCAATAATCTATGTACTTCCAGCTTGATGTAACAGAAGAAGACTGTTTTAGTTTATTTCCTCTGGAAACCCTTGTGTACCTGACTCCCGACTCAGAACAGGGTAAGTGCCTTTCCTTTCCTTTCAGTGATGATTCATGTGGTACTTTGTTCCTCATCTTTTGTTTCATTATTCCCTGTGACACACTTGTCACTCCATCCAAGAGTGGGGAGACAAACTGATGTCTCTTGTGGGCAGATATCCAATGCTGCAGAGATTAGTTCCATCTTCAGTTGGACTCTGTATGCTGCCTGACAATCCAGTCCTGACCAGCTTGGGGTCAGTGTTTATATCGGTGATATATCTGTATTATAAATGTGTGTGTGTGTGTGTGTGTGTGTGTGTTATATTACACACACAGAATATCCTCTGTTTCACATAATTTTCACGCTTACTAGTATTAGGTTAGTCATGGGTTAGGGTTAGGGTTATCTCATATTTCTCTGTGGTTTTGTTTCTTTTCTGACATAGTGTCCCTTTGAGCATACCACTCATTTTTCAGATCAGCCTGTCTGCTTTGTCTTCAGAGGATTAGCTTGTTTTGTTTTGTTTTGTTTTTAGAGACAGAATTTCTCTGTATTGTTTTGGAGCCTGTCCTGGAACTTGCTTTGTAGACCAGGCTGGCCTCGAATTCACAGAGATCCACCTGCCTCTGCCTCCCAAGTGCTGGGATTAAAGGAATGTGCCACCAATGCCCGGCTAAGGATTAGCTTTTTGTTATGTTGTATTAGTTGTATTAATATTGGTGATATTTCTTTCCTTTTGCTTTCTTTGGATTTAGAAATTATAAAACCAGTTTGATCTCAGTGGCCTTCATTTTTTCATTAGCCCTTGAAGACATTGATCAAAACATGGTTTACATCATTGGTGGACTAGTAGATGAAAGCATTCAGAAGGTAAGTATACATTTTAGCCCATTTATAGTGGAGGCATTTGCCCTGGTGTTATCTTATCCAGAAGGCCTAGCAGCTGCATAGGAACAAGAAGAGCTTGTTATTCATAGAGCGCCCCATCCACCTGGTGACTTAGACACAGCCATTTTTCTGCGTCCTCTCTCTTCTCTTCATTCTGCCAGGATGACTCTGATCTCAGCTCAGCATTTTTTCCACACTTTGTTCTCTGTGAGTCTAGGCTAACTTTTTTTGCTGGTGTCTTATTCCCACAGGACTTCAAATCAGTTGGATTGTCCAGGCTTCTTCTTTAGATTTTTTTTATGTATATGTCTGTTTTGCTCATATGTATGTCTGTGTACTATATGTATGCCTGATCAGAAGAGGGCATCACATCCTCTGGAACTGTAGGTGCTGGGAATCGAACTCAGGTCCTCTGTAAGAATAGCAATGCTTTTAACTGCTGAGCCATCTCTCCAGCCCCTTGTTCAGACTTCTTATGTTGAATTCGAGTTTCATTGGAATAATTAAGCTGTTACTGAAGTTTTAACTTTTGTTTCTGTTACACAAATATTAATTTTTTGCTTATATTTACTAATTAACATACATTGCATAGTTTTTAAGTTGAATAATGATATAATAATTTACAGTTGCAAAAAAGGAACATAGTGAGAAATAAGTGTCTTTCCCACTTTGGACCCTCAATCTTAAGGCACCATGGCTCCTTTTTTTAGATGTATTTGTTGGTTTATTTCACATGTGTTTATCATGTATATAGAAGTATTTTGTGTGAGACACATGTACACACATATATGAAGCACATGTTTAACACTTAGCTTTAAAACTAAGTACAACAAGTTGGGCAGTGGTGGTGCATGCCTTTAATCCCAGCACTGGGGAGACAGAGGCAGGCAGGGTTTCTGTGAGTTTGAGGCCAGCCTGGTCTACAGGGCTAGTTCCAGGACAGCCAGGAAACAACACAGAGAAACTCGGTCTCAACCCCCATACCCCCAAACAACAACAATAAATCTTAATTACAACTAACTTTAATACTAAGTGTTCTGCCAGACATGGTGGCACATGCACACATTTAATCCCAGCACTAGGGAGGCAGAGGCAGGTGGATCTCTGTGAGTTTGAGGTCAGCCTGGTCTACAGAATGAGTTCCAGGACAATCAGGGCTACACAGAGAAACCCTGTCTTGAAAAAAAAAAAAACTAAGTATTTCATAATGTCATAATAATAATCTAAAAAATGGGCACGTGGTCTCCTAAAGGAGAAGCCTGTTAATAGAAATTAGGAAGTCATTGTTTTTGTTGCTCCCAGTGTAATCACTGATTCAGGCAGTTGATTAAGTGAGCCATTACCAACTATCTGAGATTCATGCTCTCAGAATATCCCCTGGCAGGGTACCAAGGCAAAATGTACTATTACAATAAAGCCGTTGTGCCGGGTGGTGGTGGCACACGCCTTTAATCCCAGCACTCAGGAGGTAGGTTGATCTCTGTAAGTTTGAGCCAAGTCTGGTCTACAAGAGCTAGTTCCAGGTCAGCCTCCAAAGCCACAGAGAAACCCTGTCTTGAAAAACCAAAAATAAATAAATAAATAAATAAATAGCCGTTGTTGGTTATCATCTCTAAATTTGATGAGGTAATACTCTTTCCTGTCAAGTGTTCTTGCTCAAATTTTGAAAAATAAAAATTTTTGAGAAAACAAAAAGTCTAGGATGAGACAGTTTGTAAGACAAAAGCCGCTGTAATGGAAACTTAAGCAAACTGGGTGTTTTAAAGGAATGTAATGAAATAAAGCACATTAAATACAGTGACATATCTGTGGCCCCATCTACCTGGGATGCTAAGGCAGGAGAATCATGTGAGCCCTTCTTACAAACAAAAACCTGTCATGTGTACCATGGATGATTGGATTACAGATTAGGGGAAAGTTTTAGAAGAGGCATTTGGGGGACTTTAATAATGGTTGGGTGTTAAATAATCTTACAGGATTTTCAGAAATGAAAAAAAAAGTGCTGTGTCAAAGGAGGAGAATGCCATTGTTCTCCAATAAAAGGTTAAGTATTAAGTTGTGGAATGTTAGCTGTCTGTAGCTCACTTTCAGACTAATTTGATAACATTAGCTGGTGAATGTGGATGACAGGAATGAGAATTAATGATTCTTTCAGGTTTCTTAGATTTGAAATATTTTAAAATCAATAGCTGGGGGTGGGAAAGAGCTTTATTGCAGAGGCAGGGTCACTACTTACTTCTGCCTTGTTAAAGTCTCCTGAGACAGGTAGATGGCCTCTTAGGAAAGTGAACAGAGTGTGCTGTTCTACCAACTAAAAGTAGGAATTCTCAAAGTTGGTGGCGTCTATTACAGTGAATATCTTCACGTGTAATTTTTATAATAAGACAATCTGATTTACAGAAGGTGACATTACAAAAAGCTCGAGAATATTCTGTGAAGACAGCCCGCTTGCCAATCCAGGAATACATGGTCAGGCGCCAGAATAAGAAAAACTACCATTCAGAAATACTGGCTATCAACCAAGGTACTGTTCACATGGCCCAACCCAACATGTTTTTCCTTCCTGGCCATTTATTAGTCCTTTTTCTTGGATGTTCACTGTGTTTTCTGTTTACTCAGACTGCTGCTTAGCTTTGATCCATGCCGCTTGGTGCAGTCTCCTGTGACTCATATACCTAGACTCTCCTTCATGTACTCGCTGGCAGGCATCTGGCCACTGAGAGGCATTCTTTGTTTTATTTTTGTTCCTGGCTGAAAGTGTCCCTTTGCCTAGAATGTCCTGCCATCTACTTTCACTGGCCAGTATCTTTATTCTCTAGGCTTCAGTTCAGGAGCCTCTCACTGCAGGCCATATCTGGCCCCTTATTTGCGTTCCCACGGTGCTGTGTTCTTCTGTTGCAGTGTTATCTATTCACAAGTCTCTCCTCCCAGTGTAAGCCTTGTGAGTAGTTAGGGCTGTATCCTTGCTTCTCTCTTTTCATGATCTTCCCATGATCTACCACCACGTAACTCAGAGCACATTTGGTCAGTGAAGTATTCCACAACACCCTTTTCTTCATTAGTCCTTCACTAGTCTTTTCTCCTCAATGATCACCAACTTCTGTTTACCTTCCAACAGTGTTTGATATCCTGTCCACTTACTTTGAGACTCACAACTGGCCTGAAGCATTGAAGAAAGGCGTTTCTCCAGGAAAAGGCTACATTCTTCGGGATTCAATGGAATGAAGGGCAGCCTCCAGCTGTAGTAGGTGAAACACCAGAGGTGTCTTGACCAAAGGACAAGGCAAAGGGTGGCAGTGACACACACTTGCCTTTACTTGCTACCATGGATTTTGAAAGCCATTAATGTCGAGGACCACATTTTATGTTTTGTGTCACCTACATGCCTGGCTCACTGGAAATACCCCGATAAAACAATGTTACGGTTTAAAAACAAAAAAGTTTATATATTAAGGACTTGTCCAAATACATGGATGGCATTTTGGATGTTATGTTCTATTTGTGAAAGATGTTTGTCAGAGCTTTTCATTGAACTTGCATAAAATTACTTTTCTCCACCTGTAAGTGTGCTGATTCTTCACCAGATTAGACATATGTTGCACATAAGCTTTGCTGTCTTAGCCCAGCCTGGCCTGGCCTGGCCTGCTTTAAGCCTTTACAGCACTTTGTTCTTCCCTGTGCTCTCACTCTGATGGAGGGCTCCACTCTTCTGGTCTTTTTAAATAGCTCTGTGTAGCCTTCTGGGCCTTATACAAACCAAGTGCTATGCACACACCCCAGATCTAATCAAAAAGCCCACATGTTGTTACTGATGAATTCAGAATAAAGCAGATAGAAAAGAATGCTGCGTTCTGACACACAAGCACACTAATCTACCATGTTACAGACAGAAGTCTCCTCACATTCAGATACAACCATCTCCATTACTCCTATTTTGGGTTAACTTGAAGGTTAAGCTGCTAGCAAAATCAGATGTTTTTTGTATCACAGAAGAACCAAAAGGACCTCTCAGCCTACTTCCTTCTCCCTTCCCATTGAGTCCCATGGAAGCTATCACTTGATAAATTGTTATTATTGAAAAATAGGCTAGGCCTCAAGAATCCCCTTAAGGTTTTCAGCATACTGGATGGTTCTCATACTGGATGAGACTAGGCCACATAAGCTTCAGGGGTGCATGACTCATTCTCAGAGATCTGTAAACCCAGACCCACTGAACTTTTATCACTTGCCAGTCTACATTATCTCTGGAGGCTTTAACATAACATAAATAGCATAGAATTTTCTTTCTGACTCAAGTCCAAACCTCTCTATCTAAAAACCGAGGATGTACTTAAGATTGGAGGAATTGATGTTAGCTAAATAACATTTGGCCAGACTAGAATCAGAAATCCTCATCATACTGTTACTTAAGAAAAAAACTGAATGCCAGGCAGTGGTGGCACATGCCTTTAATCCCAGCACTCGGGAGGCAGAGGCAGGCAAATCTCTGTGAGTTCGAGGCCAGCCTGGTCTACAGAGCGAGTGCTAGGATAGGCTTCAAAGCTACACAGAGAAACTTTTTTTAAAAACCTCCCCTGCAAAAAAAAAAGAAAAAGAAAAAAAAATATCTTGTATTGCCAAGTTAAATACCTGTAATTACTGAGTTTTTTTTTTTTCATAATAGCTGTACTTAAAACCTGTAGTTTGAAGTACACAGTGTTAAGTTATAATATCCTGTAACTTCAATTTGAAAAACATAAATATGCAGTGGTTAGGCCTTAGCCCATGTCACACTCTGGTTCAGTGCCTTTATGAGGATTAGTGTCTTCTGCAGTTACCAGGTGTGAGCTAATGGAATAATACTCTTCAACACATTAGGCACATGAGTATGAGCTGGATATACTCTTCCACTGGCTTATGGCATGACAGATGGGTTTTCCCTCTGCAAACAAGTCTTACTTTTATAACAAGAAAACAGTTTTAATATTGAGCTACAGCTCATTATAGAAGCTGTACCATAGCAGAACTTCAAATAACACTATATATAAAATTTACATAAAAATTATAATTTTCTTATCTATGTATAAGTGAAAACCAGTAACTCTTATAAAAATATTTTATTGGATTCTAGTAAGACAATATGCATCTTCTGAATATGTGATAGGAAGAGGTTCATCTGAAAAAAAGATTTCCCCAGGAAACTTAGTCTTGACTAAAATGAGCCATTAAAGAGGTGTTCATGTCAACTTTCTGCCAGTCTGGCAAAGATTTGTTTTCTTTGATCTGTGGTCATGTGTTCACAAGCTTCTAAGACATTAGCCAAAATTAAAGTCTGCTGAATGGTTTTTGCCTTGACCCATATTCTTCCATTCATTCCAAACACAATCTCCAATGGATAGAGTTTTCCCAGTTCCTGCACGATTTCACAATCTGGAGCTAATAGCCTGGTAGGAAAAACAGGAAAAGACAAATTTAATAGAACAGTAGGATATGTTGTGGCTCTCTCTCCTAAGGAGATTCCTTTTCTGAGTAGTTCTCTGTAGCTATCCAAAGTCCCCTCAGCACCATTCTCAAAATAAGGCACATGATGCCATCTGCTGTCCCTTTTCTTGTACCAGCTCCTCCCTCAGCCCTTTTTTATTAGAGACGAAGTCTAACTAGTCTCAGATTTACAGATTTGCAAACTGTCCTGCCTTTCCAAGTACCTGGGACTACAGAAATATGCCACTGTGCCCAGCTCAATGTCCCCCCTTTCTTCCAAAAACCTTCTACTTTTCAGGCATGCCAGAGTTTACAATCATGTCACCAATGTTGCATAACATAAATTTATAAAGTCTCTTTCCCCTGAACACCTTAATTCTAAGATGAGGATCATAGCTTATTGTTATTATTTTGGTTTTTTGAGACAGGGTTTTTGTTAGCCCTGGCTGTCCTGGAACTTGCTTTGTAGACCAGGCTGGCCTCGAACTCACAGAGATCAACCTGCCTCTGCCTCCTGAGTGCTGGGATTAAAGGTGTGCGCCATCACGGCCTGGCTTATTATTATCATAACTATTACCTAAAATGTCAATAGAATACTTTAAATTTACTTTCCTGTCCATATTAGTTCCTTTCTGGTATTAAATTCAGAGTATTATCTTTGAAACCAAGGTTGTTGCTCAGTCAATAACTTGCTTCTTATTATGGTCTCAAACTTCATCTCTGAGTGTGAAGAACAAAATAGCAAGGAGAAGCCTAAGAAGGCAGCGCTCAACTTCAGTGGCTTTAGAAGCACAGCCTTTTAATATGGTACAGCCTGGGTAGGTGATGATCTAAATACCCTAACAGAATCCACCCCAGTGGGAACTATAAAATCAGAGACCACCTCTACATGGCTACTTAAGCTTAATGAGCATATACCTGCCTGCATTTGATCTTACAGACACTTGTTAATTCTGTACAAGTACAGACTAAATCCATATTCGAGAATCTAAAAATTAGGGAAAGACCGGTTTTCACATATGTTACATGTTAGTTATAAAGAGCAGCAGGCCTTCTGAAAGAGAAAAGGACAGGCCAGCGTGAACTTGAAGTGTGACATCAGAAAAGGCACTAGAAAAAAGGCTGCAGAGATGGTTACAAGCACTGACTGCTTTTCCAGAGGCAGCAGGTTCAATTCCCAGCACCCACATGGTGGCTCACAACCATCTCTCACTACAGCTCCAGGGTATCTTTTTTATTTTATTTTATTTTGTTATTGTTGTTTTTGTTTTTTGGAGACAGGGTTTCCCTGTGATACATTCCTGGAACTCTCTTTGTAGACCAGGGCTGGCCTCGACCTCACTGAGAGCTGACTGCCTCTGCCTCCCAAGTGCTGGGATTAAAGGTCTGCACCACCACCACCTAGCTTAAATTTTCATTAAAGGAGGGCAGTTAACAAGTATCATAACTTACTTTCTAATTAGGCCCAAAGTCACTTTGAAGAGCAGACCATCCTGTCCAATCACACCCATTCCATTGGCCCGTCCACAGCTGTCAATACAGACCATTTCTGGTTCCATGTCTTTATTAGCAACCACACACTGGCCATAGATGAGATCTCCAACCTATAAGACAGAAAAGCAGAAAAGTTCCCTTCATCCAGAAATCCTTTTTTTTTTTTTTTTTTTTGGTTTTTTGAGACAGGGTTTCTCTGTGGCTTTGGAGGCTGTCCTGGAACTAGATCTTGTAGACCAGGCTGGTCTCGAACTCAGAGATCTGCCTGCTGCTGCCTCCCAAGTGCTGGGATAAAAGGTGTGCACCAGTACCATCCAGCTCTAGATTTAAAATGTTACAAAACTGAACTTTAAAATGATGAAGCTGAGGAAACAGAATGAATTTCAACATTAAAAATCCCCACTGTTGAGAGCTGGAGAGATGGCTCACGGGTTAAGAGTACTTGATGCTCTTGCAAAGGACCCAGGTTTGGTTCCTAGCACCCTCCTAGCAACTCACAACCATTCATAACTTAAGTTTCAGGGGACCCGACCTTCCTGCCTGACCTCCACAAGCATCAGTCATATAGAGGGCAAATACATACATAGAGCCAAAACACCCTCGATATGCATACATTAATAATATTTAAGTACCCACCATTTTGGGTGACTACAAAACTTAGAGGGAATGAATCATAAGACACTTTATGCCTTTCAAGAACATGTGATCTTCTACAGGGCAACAAGAATGAATAAACTCATGACAAGTTCAAGAATAAATCCAGTACCATGGTAAAGATACAGGAAAAGTGATGATGATGAATGACTTTACATAGTCGTGCTTAGCCTGGATCTCAATGGATGGATGTCTGTCTCATAGGCTGAGAGACTGCAATCCAGACAGAAGAGCACCATTACTAAAGACCCAAAGGAACCAAGTTCAGTGGTGTTGTGAAACTTAAGCATATTAGCATGAAGTGCTAATATGAGGGAAGACCCCTGGGGCACAATGCCAATGAATTCTCTATGATTTGAACATTTTTTTTCCTGTTAAGAAATGGAATATGGGAGCTGGAGAGATAGCTCAGTGGTTAAGAGCACTGGTTGCTCTTCTAGAGGACCTGGGTTCAATTCCCAGCAACCACATAGTGGCTCAAAACCATCTATAGTGGGATCTGATGCTGTGTTCTGGCATAAAGTCAATAGAGCATTCACATATACTTAAATCTTTTTTTAAAAAAATCCACACATATAAAACCTTTAAAAAGGGAATGTCAACATGAGGATATTAACAGATGGAAGCTGGAATGTTAATGAGATTGCTGCCCAGTTTTGTCAAAAATGAGCAAATGCTTGAACTCATAGACACAAAGGGATAAGGCATGCAAAAGACAAGAGATGGAACAAATAAGATCAAATGACTCAAGACCTGTGAGAGTTGAAAGAAAAGTAGCACAGATGCCATCAAATTTCTGGCTCACATGTATCCTCAGGAAGGATACAGCTAAACCAACCAGAAATCCTGTAGTAACAAGATCACTCTTCTGTCAGCTCCAAGGATTCAGAGCCAAGATGAAGAGATAGATGACTGACAGTACCAGTGTCCCTTAGACTAGGGACACTTTCCTTGTGATATGGATATGAACCTCACAGGTAACAAGGGGAAGCAAACATAACCCTTCAACCTGGGAGAGAAGAACCAAGAACACAGCACTGGTTCTGGAGCTGCAGCGCCTAAGGAACTATCTTGGAGAATCTGAAGGATAGTTTATGCTTTGGAGACAAATCAGGAAGTCCTCTGGGCAGCTAAATTTCTGGGGAGTGGCTATTTTTGCCTTATTGTTGAAACCAAAGGCTCCCATCATTACCTGCACATTCGGTCTGTTTCTTTTAGTTGCTCCTTCAAATGCCAGGTAAGACAAAGAAGCTGGCTCACTCCCTCCAACATCAACTTTGAATATATCTCCAGATTTAGCAATCACTATGCCAATCACGTGGTCTCCTTTCACGGGTACGTACTGCAAAACATAATGAAAGAACAACCATAAAAGACTACTGTAACATATATGCAGTAAGTTTTAGCAAGGTTGCTCAGGATGGGTCTCAAACAATCCTCCCAACTCATATTCCTCAGGTAGCTGGGACTACAAAACCGGGCCGCACCAATCCAACTTTGTTGTCTCTAATCCGTAGTTGACCTGAGTCAGGTTTCATACTTCAGCATCTTTTATACATCCGGCGGCACAAGAATCCTTACAGTCAAGGAAACCCACCCATTAGACACTTCTACATGAAAGCTCTTACTCTACGAATAATTTAACTCCCTGTTATTTAGACTCACTGAAACTGGGACTCCACATGGCACGCCTGCGGCTTCCTTCTTTCTAGCCCCTTTCTCCTTTCTCCCTTCTCAAGCTGTGTTTCTACTGTGGTTCCTCTAAAGAAGATGCAGAGGGGACCTAGAAGCCACCGCGGCTCTAGGCTGAGCTCATCCTCTCCTCCCCGCTGCAGGGAGTCTTCCCAGAACTGGGATTCCACTATCGCAGCAGCACGGCCTCTCCAACGTCCGCTCACCCGCTTCTGTTGAGAATCCACCCAGTAAACGCCACCGCCGCCTCCTCCGGGCTCCTTGTGGCGCAGGC